TAACTTTATAATATCAAACGGGATTATTACTAAATCATTGTTTTTATTTTGTGCTCCTAAGAGAATTTTTTTTTTTAACTTTAGTGTTGTATGTATATATTTTTAAGGTACCCTTAGATATTGCCTTTCATTTTATGCACTGAAAAGAATATTTTGATTTTCAATCATGGTAATGTGCTAACTGCTAACCTGTCCATGCCCCCCCCCCCATACTTTTGAAAAACAACCAATTAGATCTACTAAATTTTAATTTTATCATTTTTATCTTTAATCTCAATTTATTTCGTATCATTTTAGTCCAATTTCTTAGTTAATGTTTTGTTATACTTCCCTAAATGTGTTTTTGGCTAGTATCAATAATCTCATAATTGAACTATAAATGTTGTAAATTTCTACTTCATGCATAACCAATGACTTTCCTTTCAAAATAAATAACATTTTGCCCACGACTTTAACAATGAAATTTCTTATTTTTCTCATAGCATAACCTTTCATACTTCATTTTTCTTCCATTTTTTGTTTCCCCTTTTGAATTGGGAAATTTATTTATTTTTTTTCATTCATTTTCAGTTTAATGTTGTTACTTTCAAAAATTTCATATAAAATAATGATACAAAGAACGAATCTTACGAGATGAAATTGGAGAACCACTGACGTCACTTGCCATGTATTCAAACACCCAACGCACTTGCGTTGAGAAGTGATGAAGACAAAAGAGAAATCAATATTAATAAATTAAAAATTTTACCTTTTTTAATAAGAACCCAATTCAACCATTTACTTCCATCTACAAATCGTCCCTCCCAAAAAGAAAGTTACATGTGTATGTTTACGTCGTAAGTGCGTTGGGTGTTTGAATACATGGCAAGCCACATAAGTGGTCCTCCAATTTTGTCTCACAGGATTCATTCTCTATATCATTATTCTTTTATATATTAGCACAAAAGAGTGTAATTATTTCACTTTTGTTATAAGAGCTTTATATCAAGTTACAATCACTTTGTAATAGTAGTTCAATGTCACAATCAAGTGAGCAAGTTTATGATTCCTCAATAAGTTGTAGATGCCAACATATAAAATCATTTAAAGTGGAAATCCAAAGTTAAATTTCATTAAATTAAAATGAAATATATACATATTTTTTTTGCCATCGAAACATTTTATATTTTTTTATCATGAGAAAAATACAATTGAAACTCATTAGTTTTAAAATTCAAAATGGTCCAGAGTTGAGCGCATATTACCATAAAAAGAAATAATAAATAAACATTTAAAGTATCGAGTTTAGGTTTTAAGATGTTTTAAATTTCTCCATAAAAAAATAAAGATGTTTCATATTTCCCTATCAAAAAATAAAGATATTTCAGATTTTGATTCTCCTTATCTTCGATAACAAAAAGAAAAATTTTTTATTGGATCCACGTGTCTAATCATAAACTAAATTGTGAACGTGAATGAAAATCATTGAAGAAGAATCTCGTATTAATGTGATATTAATCATCGAAAAGAAGATTAACTTGCCAAATATTCTTACCCATCTTCTCAATCAATGCCAATTGCCAAATAATGTAAGATTTACTAGAAATTCATTCAATAATTGCTTCTATTTCATTAAAAATTATTAATCAAAAGGATAAGGGCTTGCAAAAAGTATGGCAAAATCAAGGGTCAAATGTGTAAAAATTTAGAAAAGAAGTGGAAAAAGTGAGAAAAAGAGAAGAATTCTGTCCTGGGAGTCAACAGTCATGGCAAAATCCGATTAAGGAACCTAGATTTTTTGTTTTTATCACAGGTGTATTTATTCATACTCAAAGTACTACAGTATCCTCGACTCTATTCCCAAATGACTATCACATCCTCACTGTCCGATGCGTGTCAGTTTTTCATTGGCTAAAACCAATCGGTTGCAAAAATTTTACAACTTCTCAACCGTAGAGACGTAAAACCCACCGAATCCCGACAACTCACGCGCCGTGTGAGGCGGACATCACGAACCTAGTTTTAGGATGTCAGTGGGTCCCTCCCGATTTCACGCTTTTTACTTTCTCCCTCTGTTTTTTTTTTTTTTTTTTTGAACCTAGTTTTAGGATGTCAGTGGGTCCCTCCCGATTTCACGCTTTTTACTTTCTCCCTCTGTTTTATTTTTTTTTTTTTGTTTTCACTTATCAATCTCCCTCCTGTGTTCTCCCTGTAAGTGAAAAAGAGATTGACTTCTGCCTTCTGCATGGGAGGAGAGAAGAGAAAAAGCCATTGAAAAACCAGAGGGAAGGAGGAAAAAATAGGGAAAAAGGGTTTTTAGAGTTAGGGTTTTTAGAGTTAGGGTTTTTGATTAAATCAAGGGTTCTTATAAAAAAAAAGAAAAAGAAAAGATTTGACAATTCATATCCTATTAGAAGTCAGCTCTCCACACCCATCTCACCCATTATTTTATTTTCTCTTTTATCTTATGTAAAATCAAAACTTTATATTACTATATAATATTTATATAGTTTCTCTCGTTTTTACTCCTTCTGCAGATCCCAACAAGATAGAGAGAGAAAGAGAAAGGATCTTTGATTGCCTGTACCTATCGTTTCCGTGGACTGTGCTTAGCCTACTGTCAAAATTTTAAAAAGGTAGTATATGTTTGGTTCTAACTATTTAGTCTCTTTTTGTAAAAAGATTGCCAGTGTTGTTGGGTTGATTGTGTGGACTTTGGGGGGTAAAGCACCCTGAGGAGTCTTTTTGTGCAGCGTGTGAATGGATGGATGAATGCTTAAAAAGACTTCGCCTTTCTGTTTTGTTTTTTTGCTTGTTCTTTGTATGAGACTTTTTTGGGTTTTTACTGGGTCCTTGTCAGTACTGACAAACGATTGGTCAAGCAGACCCCCTGGAAAAAAAAAAATTAGGTTTTTTTTTTTTGGTATTTGTCAGTCTTGTATGGTTGTATCAGAGAGGAAAAAGAAGGGTCTTTAAAAAAGAATGGTATTTGTTGTCTCCTTCTTCTTTGAAATAATCTGAAACCGACTTTCTAGAGAGGGATCTTTATTTTTATTTTTGTATATTTAAGAGAAAGAGGGACTCTTGCATGGGCGTTGACGAGGAGACAGTTTTTTCTTTGTTTCTCCGTTGAGAACCGTTGAGAACCGTAAATATGTAGACTTTTGCACAATCTGGGCGGTATTTGTGAGTCAAACTTGTGAACTAAGAAACAGAGAGAGGAGAAATCGACGCATAAACTTGCGAATCTGATAGGGACGGTTTACAGTACTCGAGAGATAAAACAGGGGGGAAGAGAGAGGGGAGAGGAAAGAAGAGATCCTGAGGGAGAAGGGTTCGGTTTTTTTCTTTCTATTTTGATGAGTTTTGAAGGTTTGATTAGGGGTAGTAGTGACGGTGGGAGAATGGGAACTAGGGTTGTGGCTAATGTTGTTTCACACAGCAACATTCCGAGTGGGGTTGCCGTTGCTCCGCCTCCCCATCTGAGCCCTGTCCATACACCTATCTCCAAATCTGTGAAAAGATCCCCCGCTCTATCCCTCTCCTTTGTACGGCTTCATCCTTTATTCTCCTTCTTGCTCTGCATCGTCCTAGATTAATTTCTCACCTACTTATTTGCTGTTTCTTTGATATATTTATTAGACGAGTTTATGTTCCAGCTTTTGAGATGGCTCTTTTTAAAGGACTCCTTTTTTTTTTCTTTGTTGGTTGCAGAGGAGAATGGATGGTCTTGGTCATGGTGAGATGGGTCTACTTGTGGAAAATTTTGATCCTAATGTGGTTGGGAGGATGAGGGAAAATGGGTATGAGAGCAGGTCTGGAAGTGACAACCTTGATGTTGCCTCAGGTGATGATCAGGATGCCGGAGATGATGAACCACCGAGGAAGAAGAAGTACCATAGACATACTCCTAATCAGATACAAGAGCTTGAAGCGTATGGCTTATCTATTTTATTCATTTGAATATAGGGAATTTGTGTTTGCAATACTGCTCCTTGTGGTTTCAGGATTTGCATATAATGTTTTCTTCTTTGCAAATTGTTGTTAGTTTCTTCAAGGAATGCCCTCATCCTGATGAGAAACAAAGACAAGAACTAAGCAGGAGGCTTGGCTTGGAGAGCAAGCAAATAAAGTTTTGGTTCCAGAACAGGAGAACGCAAATGAAGGTAAAATGAAAATTTCTTGAATTCCTTTTAACATCTATGTCTGAGATTTAATCTGGTGATAATGAATATTTGTAATTCTAAATCAGACACAACTGGAACGCCATGAGAATGTAATTCTTAGACAAGAAAATGAAAAACTGCGAATGGAGAATGAAATGTTGAAGCAGACCCTTGGTGTTCCAATATGCACCAATTGTGGTGGTCCAGCAGTGGCCGGTGAAATATGTTACGAGCAGCACCAACTTAGGATTGAAAATGCTCGGTTGAAAGATGAATTGGGCCGCATTTGTGCATTAGCAAACAAATTCTTGGGTAGGCCTCTTTCATCCTCAGCCAGTCCAAGCATGCTGCAAGGTTTAAATTCTAATTTGGAGCTGGCAGTGGGTAGAAATGGTTTTGCTGGTGTGAGCAATTCTGGCATCAACACATTGCCGGCGGGACTCGATTTAGGTGATGGAGCTATGATGCCTTTGCTGAAACCGACAATGGGCCTGGAAGGGCCACTTGATAGATCGACGTTCTTAGATGTTGCTGTGGCGGCTATGGATGAATTAATTAAAATGGCACAGGTGGATAGTCCCCTTTGGATAAAAAGCTTGGATGGAGGGAAGGAAACATTGAATCATGAAGAGTACATTAGGACATGTTCTTCTTGTATTGGCATGAAACCAAGTGCCAGTGGCTATGTTACTGAGGCTTCACGAGAGACTCTTATGGTAATCATCAGCAGCGTGTCTCTCGTGGATGTGCTGATGGATGCGGTATGCTAGTCAACATCTTGTTCTGTTGTTTTTTTATTGTTCCATCAAAATTTCAATCTGTTCTGATTCCTTTGATTATGTGCTTTGGTGCTCCATATTTGGACATTTTCATTGTTCCATTGACAGGAGAGGTGGGCTGACATGTTTCCCAGTATGATTGGAAGAGCAGAGACCATTGATGTATTATCCAGTGGTGTAGGTGGTACCAGGAACAATGCACTACAAGTGGTAGGTGTGGTGTCTGCTATTTTTATTTTTTATTTATGGACGTGAAGCTGGAACTGAAGTATCTTACTTTGCAGATGCATGCTGAATTTCAAGTGCTTTCACCTTTGGTTCCTGTCCGTCAAGTTAGATTCCTTCGCTACTGCAAGCAACATGCTGAGGGTTTGTGGGCTGTTGTTGATGTTTCAATTGATGGCAGCTCAGATGTTTCAAGTTCGCATTTGTTTTCAAGCTGCAGGAGGTTTCCTTCTGGCTTTGTTGTCCAAGATTTGGCTGATGGTTACTCCAAGGTAATTTCTAATATAAGTACTCAGTTTCTTTATTTTTGTGAGGAAACCATGACTTGCTTCTTTAATGTGCATCCTTTTGGTTTTTATCTGTAGATATTAATAATGAAGTTGTTATAACTGCAACTTTGAGTTTAATTAAGCCTACATGAAAGTGATAGTCAACTTGGACTTCTGGTTTCTAGTCACCTTGACCTGTGTTCTGCAGAAAATATTAATATAATATGCTATTTAATTCCTCACCTATGTTGCCTTCCCTTGATGGGTTTCTTCATAATAAAATAAAGCTTCACAGTTCCTAAGAATCTGAAGCTCTTATTGTTATTATTTTTCTGAAGAAGATGCTTCCTCGTTTTAATCATTTACAATCTTCATTTTCAAAATGAAGGTAGCTTATTGTCTGTACTTAACCAGCTCACTGCTGCATGTAGAGTTGAGCAAATCAAGGGTCCTAACTTTTTTATTATTAATATAACATTAGGATGCCATACCCTCCATCTTTGTGCTGGTAAATCCTGGGGAATTTCAATCTTTGATGTATAAACTATGTATTTGATCCTTCTATTCTTGTCCCTACATCTCTCTTGATTCGTTTTTTATTGACCGACCTGGATCCAGTCATTATCTTGTTATCTTTTCAACCCCGTCTTTTGCGGCTACTTGTTTTACTATATTTTAATGATGTCACCTTTCTATTTAATTTATAATTCTGCAAATTTCTTTTGAAGTTTAGGAATGCATCTAATTTTTTTTATCATATATATATATTTTTTGTCCTATCTTAATGGCACCATTCCTCCTTGTTTGACCTGTTGATGTGAAGATCAAATTTTCTCAGTGGATATACTTAATATTTTGCTGGTTTCATCATGCAATGTCTACCATGAGACCTATGTTCTATTGCTTTAAGAAGAAAAATATTGTTCTGGAATCATTTTAAGTTTGTGGCAGATGGAGTCCTATATATTCGGTTTTGCCCTTTATAGAGGCCAGAATGAACCAATAAATGATGAATTTAAATTTGATAATTGCTGGAAGTATGCTAGCCCGCTTACAAATTGTAAGTGCAGGTTACCTGGGTGGAACACTCAGAGTATGATGAGAGCATTGTCCACCATCTCTTCAAGCCATTAGTCAGGTCTGGTTTAGGTTTTGGTGCACAGAGGTGGGTAGCTGCCTTACAAAGACAATGTGAGTGCTTGGCAGTGCTCATGTCTTCCACTATGCCTAGCGAAGACCATACAGGTTTCGTTTTACTACTTCATCCTTTTCACTTCTATGTTCAATATGGTAAATTTATCTTCTAAGTCAAAATATTATGGCACAGGAATAACTCCAAGTGGTAGGAAGAGCATGTTGAAGTTGGCACGTCGCATGATGTATAACTTCTGTGCTGGAATCTGTGGTTCAAGTATACGAAAGTGGGACAAGCTCCAGCTTGGTAATGTTGGTGATGATGTCATTGTGTTGACCAGGAAGAATATCAATGACCCTGGTGAGCCTCCTGGTATCGTGTTAAGTGCTGCAACTTCTCTTTGGATGCCGGTATCACAGCATAGGCTATTTGAATTCTTGCAAAATGAACAAATGAGGTGTCAGTGGGACATATTGTCCAATGGTGTGCCAATGCAAGAGATGGTTCGATTTGCCAAAGGCCAAGAACAAGGAAACTATGTCTCTCTCCTCCGTGGCAGTGTAAGTGGTGATTCACTATATATTTTTTAGAGAGTTGTTTTCACCTTTTTTTCATCTGTCTTTTCGTGTTTTCCTCTGTTTGAGGTATATACTCATCCCTCTGTTTGAGGTATATACTCATCCTTTTCTACCCTGCAGGCCATTAATACAACCGCAAACAGCATGCTAATCCTACAGGAGACATGGAATGACGTTGCTGGTTCACTGGTGGTATATGCACCGGTTGACATACCTGCAATAGGTGTTGTTATGAACGGTGGTGATCCAGGCTATGTGGCTCTTCTGCCATCAGGGTTTGCTATCCTTCCTTGTGTCTCGGCTGGTCAGACAGTGGGAGAAAGCTCTGATGGGCCTTTAGTTAAACCTCATGTGGAGGGCTATGAGGGTGGATGTCTACTCACAGTTGGCTTCCAGATTTTGCTGAGTAGTATTCCTACAGCGAAGCTAACGGTGGAGTCGGTTGAGACTGTTAGCAATCTCATCTCCTGTACAATTCATAAAATCAAAACATCTCTTCCAGCAACATGATCGGAGAAGCTTGGTAACCCTGCTGCTTAGTGGAATCTACCGTTTTCCTTTCGTTTTTCTGAGTTCCTTTTTTTGAAAAGAAAGACAACAGGTGGAAAGTATAGGAGACAATGTGTTATATATATATATATATAGAGAGAGAGAGAGAGAGATGAAAGGGAGGTGGAATATGGGATGATAAGGGGTTGCGAGTCAAGAACGAACCACCTGGGAAGAATTTTTTTTGTTGTTCTGTGGATCTGAATTGTCTAAGGTCCATGTTTCAAACTTGGCATCAATCAAGGGTTGTTGTGGTTCAGGTATTGACTCAGTCTACCCGTGAACTGCTGAGCTCCCCGTTCATTTTGTTAAATAGATGTTTGCATGGAGAAACAACATGGATATTTAATAATCTTTTTTTTTTTCTTTCTCGATTTCCAATTTAGTAATATATATATATATGTGGCCAGCTGTCCCTTATATTTGTTTGAAAATTTCTTTTATAGAAAGTGACAATGGAATCCTTTGTTGGAATTTTATATCTCTGTTGCAATCTGCTATTGGGCCTGGGGGTGAAATTTTTAGGCTTAACATGTCTTAAGCCAAGTTTGGTCTGGAGTGTGGCACGAAGTCTTGCCCTTTTAACCCCTCATCAAGCCATTTCCTTGGAGGCTTTACCCCCTAGGGTTTATGGGAAAATATTTGTTACATTGCAAGCTTACAGGTATGATTTATCATTATATAATTATTATTATTTTTTTTTAAGATTTCAGTTGTGATACTGCTATACATTCTCCTTTAAAATTATGTTATAAATTTATAGTTGGCATTACATTATAAGTATATTATTATCATGTCTAAGGTAATTTCTTAGTCCAAGCTGAAAGATTTTTTTAGTGGAAGTGTGATTAGTTAGAAAATGATTGCCTTCTTTTTGTTTGGTACGGAGAGATTAGAGATTGAATATGAGGTGGTTATAACTTATAACCATCTTTAAAGTGTTATTGCCATTGCCACTCAAATATTGTTTCAAAAATAGTTAGTTTTAATATTTGAAAATATTAGTTTATAAATTTAGGTTTAATTTGATAGTGTTGGGTTGTAATTGTTATTGTAAGTTTTTTAATCCTTAAACATCTTAAAAATATATGAAATATATTGAATATATTTAATATTTATTTTAATTAACATTTTATATATTTTTAAAATGGTAAAAGAACGTAACAAGAAGAAAACTAAAGCACCCAGAAGCTTTCTTAAATAAAGCTTAAATTTTAATATATTAAGTAATAAATATCAATAGTTTTATCATTTATAAATTAACAATTATAGTTATTAGTTGTTTAATATCCAACAATTAAGAGTTTTGAGTTTCTATACTAAAAAATTAAATTTTAGAATAGGTGGGGAAGGACTTGAAAATATGAGAATATTTTTAATTATATAATTTATTATTTGATGTATTAAAAAATTATAATTCTTACCTGTGTTTAATAACTAAACAAAACTCAACTAATATTCTTAAAAAAAAAAGGCATACAAAAGTTTGTATCACCTTGACACTTTTTAATTGTGGCAATAACCATTCGCTGATCAAACCGTTGTGCAATTGACTACAGCTATAATTTTTTGGCCCCCCAAGCAATGAACTCACAAAGACACCCATTTATTTGATGCCCCTTTGGTCCAAGACTCCACTAATTCACCCTAGTGTTCAATTGGTGCCATTTCACATCGGAAAATTATTTCAAGATGATTTTTTTATATTATATTTTTATATAATTTTATGTGTTATTTTAATAATTAATTTTTTTTTTATTTATTTAAAATTTATAATATTAAATATATTCACTCATTTAATAATATATAAAATAATATAAAAAAATTATATAAAAAAATTATCCTTATATTACTGCCTTACCACATTGAGGCTGACAGTTATATAAATTGAGCCAACTTAATCTAAACACGAAGACCGTGGCCCATTCTGGAACAATCGATTAACTAAACGGACCCTTTTTTTCTTCGGTCCGGAATTTCACGTCTTCATCTCATTTCCGGCAATTTCGATGCTCAAAATCATTCCTTTCCAAATTAGGCCCCCGAATTTCAATTTTCAAGTTCAAAACCCCCCGGCGAAACCCTAATTTCACGCCCAAAATGTTCATCTTCGTCACTTTCACTTTCGCCTCGAAGCTACTCAAACCAAGAACACGAATACCGCAAAGATCACTTCCGTTGAATCTTGACTGTAATCTTACATCGACTAGATCCAAGTCTCAATCCACTTCCATTCCCAAGAAGCAGGACCGAGTCCGCGATCATGGCTACGACAACTACATGGAGGTCGAGAAGAAGACCCGGAAAGTCCTTAAGTTCCAGTCCCTTATCCTCTCTCAACCCAACCAAACCCTCCCCGTATCTCGCCTCGAGAATCTGGCTCGTCGTCTTGGCCTTGGCTTCAAGCAACACGAAGCTGGGGCTTTCCTCCTCAAATTCCCCCATGTTTTTGAAATTTATGAGCACCCAGTTCAGAGAATTCTCTACTGTAGGTTGACTCGCAAAGCAATTCGCCAGATTGAGCTAGAAAAGGAGGCGCTCAATGCCCAGATTCCAGACGCGGTGAGCCGGTTGAGGAAGCTGCTTATGATGTCAAATACGGGTCGGTTAAGGCTTGAACATGTTCGTATTGCCAGGACTGAGTTCGGTTTACCTGATGATTTTGAGTACTCGGTAATTCTCAAGTACCCACAATTTTTTAGACTGTTTGATGCTAAAGACACTAGGAATAAGTACATCGAAATTGTTGAGAGAGATCCTAAGTTAGCTGTTTGTGCAATAGAGAAATTGAGGGAGAGAGAATACAGAGAGAAAGGACTTGATGCTGAGGATATTAGGTTCTCATTTCTAGTTAATTTTCCACCTGGGTTTAAGATAAGTAAGTATTATAGGATTGCTGTATGGAAGTGGCAACGGCTTCCTTATTGGTCGCCATATGAGGATATTTCTGGGTATGATTTGAGGTCACTCGAGGCTCAGAAAAGGATGGAAAAGAGGGCCGTGGCAACAATTCATGAGTTGTTGTCACTGACTGTGGAGAAGAAGATTACTCTGGAGAGGATTGCTCATTTTAGAATGGCAATGAATTTGCCAAATAAGTTGAAGGATTTTCTTCTTCAGCATCAGGGGATATTTTATATTTCAACTAGGGGGAATTATGGGAAGCTTCATACAGTGTTTCTCAGGGAGGCCTATAGGAAAGGAGAGTTGGTTGAACCAAATGGTTTGCATTTGGCTAGAAGAAAGTTGGCGGAGCTGGTTTTATTGAGCCCAAGGAAGGCAAAGGTGGATCCAGAACTTGTTAGCTTTAGAAGGGATAGAGAAGAGGAATTTGAGCATGCTAGACGGGACTATGTGGAGAATTCTTTTGGAGGTTTTGGTGTTGAGGGTAATGTTGAGCAGGATGGGATAGGGGAAGTTGATTCAAATTCAGATGTGAGTTCTGATGTTGAATCTCATTACACAGACGAGGATGACGATTTTGATGAAACTATGGATGCAAAGGTGGATGCCCATTGCAACCAATGACCAAAAATTCATATTGTTTTGATGTCATGGTCCTAGTCATGGGTAAATTTGATTTTCTTGATCTTAGAACCAATTTGGAACTATGGGGGCTAACCGCCAAACTCTAAACAACCATAGGACTTGTGGATTGAGGACTGCCATGTTTGATCTGGACAATGTGCAAATGGGATTCTTATTCACTAGTAAACAAGTACCTTTTATGGCGAATTGGTTTTAAATCCTGGCTTACAAAGGATCTCTGGAGAGTGGAAAAGAGCTTGAAGTTGAGTTGTGAATTTTTAAAATGGAAATATGGAGCTGAGTCCATCTAATTGCTGCCATGTCTTCTTCCTGGATGTAAACTATTTTCACTTCAGTTAATAGGAGTTAGTTTCAGAAGCTGCTTCTACCTGATGACGACACACGTGCAATCAGAAGTCTTGAATATCAATGAAAATTTTATTCTAATAAAAGAAGATAATGCAATAAGTTTATAGTTTTGAATTTATATATGGCCAAATAGTTCACATCACAATCTTTACATTGTAGATAGTTCTTTGTAATTTGATTGTTTCCATGATTTTTTTTCTCTCAAAGCTGGTTCTTAGTTCTCTGCTTTAATGTTTTGTTGCCTCTCACATTAGAAGATGATTGGTATCTGGTTTCCTGCCACAATGAATGTGCTCTTCCAGTTAGTTTTATTACATGCTCCTTTTTTACATCTTGATTTTGCCTCTTTTAGTTTCTTTTCTTCTTTCTTTCTTTCTTAGTTTTTTGGACGACTATACTCAGGCCATAGCCGAGACCTAAGTCATTGGATTGGAGCATAAACCCATCTCTCTAAAGTTGGTTGATTTGGTTTGACATAACTACTCAAGCTTTGTTTAGTGTGGTTTTAATTTTGAGTTTTTTTGTTTGATTTTTAAAAATAGAGAAATTTTATAAATTAATTAATTTTGAAATTTTGATTTTTAATTTTAAAAATTTATATTCAATAAGTTGTTAATTTTAATTTTAAATTATTTAAATTTTCAAAACTTAAAAAAAAAAAAAGAAACAAAACTACGACGTTGACAAATGGTGCATAATTAGACCACATCTACAATTATTGATTTTCCATTTCATCCACGCAAGTTATATCTCTCCCCGGTATGCACAGCCAGCATGGGGTGTCCCGGGTCGAAAGGACATGTCCCAATGCTTCGACATTGACAGGCACACAAGCCCTTATAAAAGTCCAAACAGTTTCTCCAAATCCCATTTTCATTATGCCTGTATCATCCAAGATAGAATGCAAACAAAATTTCATAAATCCATATATCACATTGAGGCTGTGGGGTTCTAGTGGTTCTAGGGGTTTTGTCTAAATTCTTCAAAAAAAATTTTATTTATTAGTAATATCACAATTTAATCTAAAAAATACCAAATACCTTATTTGCACCTTATACATTATTTTTTTTCATAATCAACACTTTCAAAAATTTTTACTCTCGGTTAACTCTCTTCATAATTTAAAACTCATAAAAAACCCAAAAATCAACAGTTAAATCTCTTATTTACACCTTGATTTTATTGATAATTTATGTTTTTTTTTTTACGGATTTCAAATTATGAAAAATATTGATTGGGAGTGAAAATTATAAAAGGTGTTAATCATGAAAAAAAAAATAATGTATCAAGTGTAAATAGAGAGTTTGGCATTTGAAAATTTAATTTGTATACTTTTTGAACTGAATGAGCAAGATCTAAAATGGAATAACATTCAATTTGTTGATTGTAGCTTGTCCTTGGATGTTTATATAAAACAATTTTGGGATGAAAGTTACTCTTATAAAAAATGTAAGAAATTAATGCGTATGCAATCTGAGATATTTTTGTTGAATGAATAAATAATAGACAGTTGTTAGGTCATATTACTGAACAAGTGGAGTCAGTACTCTCACTGCTACCTTCCCTTGATGATGTAATTAGACAACTAATCTCCACTAACCAATTTGCAACCAAAGGGTTAATGATCTCAACACGTCTGCTCTGGCTCTTTTTTTTTTTAAGTTTTATTTTATTTTATTTTATTTTGTCTTTAAAAAAATGAAAGAGAGTAAAAATCCACAAGTTGAAAGAGTATTTTGTGAAATATTCAGACCTTACGTTTGGGTCCCTCATACTTCAGCTACTTTTTATTGAGTATATTTTTCATGTTTTAGCTTCTTTTCTTTCATTCATTTT